TTCTCACCCCGGCGTCCGTTTCCTTTTTCTTTTCTCCGCGGCCGTCCCACGCCGCCGCGGGAAATGCCAGCCGCTTTCACGAGATATTACCTGTAATGTCCGCAGCGCATCCATTACGGGTCATTATCCATCCATTAGTCGTTTTCCACGGGTCCGTGGACGCCTCGAAAGGAGGACGCTTACACGGTCTGGCACCGCGATGCGGGCGCGCGAAGACACCCTTTTTTTTCATCCACCTTCTCGCCGAGAGATGGGAACTTGGGGAACCTTCTACCATCCGACTACCACTTGATGGCTAGCAAGACGAGAGGCTTAGAAGAGTTTTGTTACGCCGTTTGTTTAAGTTTTATTGATTTTATTTTATTATTTGTTTTCGTTTTATTCGTATCGAGAGTGAAATGAGAACAGGGGAAAAGTGATCGTTTACTACATTCCTTTTGGCGTACATGTCCTGAGCAACAAAGAGTAAGTACTCACAACAGTTTTTTCCTATCTGTTTTCAGTTCTGATTGGTTATATGTAATCGTACTGATGAATAAGAGATTCTTATCGAAAACGAAATGAGAAAAGATGAAAACTGATCGATTAGCATTCCTTAGTCTAGCCATCAAGTAATAGTCAGACAATAGGTACTGGCAACGGAAGAAAGATTCATAAAAGTATTAAAGGTACTAAACACAAGCCTCATTAGATGTTCCTATTATTCACTGTCATACGAATTCGAGATATTTGAGTAGCAACAAAACTGCTGTTATGTATACTGTAATCATGACATTACGAATGATCATAATAAAAATTAATAAAACGTGTAACTATCGGAATAATTGAATGTCAAGCTAAACTCGACACACAAGCGTAGAGTGTTTCATTCTACTAAAGTCTACTACTGATAATCGGCGATCGACGATTCTACGAAAACCGTCCACGAGATCCGCGCACAAAGATCGCGAGTAATTACGCCCGCGAACAGGCAGGACACGTGTGTGTTTTTCCATGGAAAAACCTTCGATCCCGAAAACGAGCCGGTAACAAAGCCATCGCGGGGCAGGAGGGGAAAGACAGAGGAACGGACAGAGGATTCTCTTCTTTAAATGCTCGTTCACCCTCGCCTATTCATACCGCGTGTATGTCTACCTGCGATACACAGCCTCTGCTACCACCCTCTCCCCCTTCGCCGTTAATCTATAGGATCCATTCATCTTCGAGAGCGTAGGTGAGCCTGTCCTCGCGATCTCTTCAGGCACTCTCGATGGCCCACGGCGGATTCCTTTTCGTCCTGAAACTTCAAAGCGTCCACCAAACGGCCCCGGGGGTGAAAAAACTATTTTATTATCGCGACCCGCTTCTTCCTACCACTGGATCGTCTCTAGGATCCTTCACGGTCTCCTTGAAATCCTCTCTGGCGCGCGGTCACCTCGTTCACGAGGAATTCGTGCAGGATTCCCGCGAATGCGAGAGCGATTCCTTGCTTTGGAGAAATGAGAGATTCGAAATCGTCGCAATGCATTCCACGTATGCACGTAGCTTTACGGTTTAAGAATCTCGAAAGAATGATAGAAAGTTTCTTGTAGACGAATTCGGTCTTTACACTGAGCTTCAGCTAACTCCGAAGCTATACGCTTCTCTTTGTAGTTCAATTCTCTAAAAATACGCAGAACCGCTGCTAACGGGAAGTAGTCTACGAAAGTTCAGGCTTGTTTGCTTGACAATACGGAAACTTGGATTTTCGAACGGTTATAACAGTGGACCGATAGAAAATCTGTTCCAAATCTTTAGTGAAGATACATTGTTTGATACTTGGTTAGGAACACTGGTGTTTCGTGGACAAGGAGAAAGAAAATGCATTATAAACGGTTGAACGCATGAAGCTTTTGGGCCCGAAAGAAACGAGAATTCTCGCGTGGCTTTGATTCGCGACACCCGTGGGGGACAGAGTCTAGCCGGTTGTAGGAGATCTCGGTATCAACAGCACGGTAGCCGGGTTAGGTAGCGATTCGAGCAGCCTTCGTTCGTCTTGCGCCCGGTTTCTGCGCGATTCGAGCCTTCGTCGGCGTTGCTGCCGGTGCACGAGTGTTTGCAGTCCACTTGAAACCAGTCCCGAACGAGCTCGCGAGCACGAGGAAGAGGGAGACCCATCCCAGGAACAGAGACGGCCGGACAAAGCCGTGGATAGACGGACGGAGAGACATCGGCTGAGGCGGGAGGCCAGGAACGAAGCTTAATTTGTCTAACGAGGGGCCTCTGCACCTGTCATCTGGACGAAGATATGGACGGACGTAGGCTAAACCCTTTCTCTCTCTATCTATCTATATCTTTATCTCTCTCCTCTTTGGCCAGTCCTCCTGCTCCACCTCCTCCTCCTCAATTCAGCCCCCTTTGGCCCGAGGAACGTTTGCTTGCTTACTCTATGGCCGACAGGCCAGCTTTCCTCTACAACGTGTGTTTGACCCGTTCCCGAGGGATCCCCTCGACGAGGATCCCCATCCAATAGCAATCTTGGGATAGGTCCGGTTAGGCCCGAATATCGTTAATACACTCGTTTTTTCATTTTTTCTCTAACTGAAAGCCGATGGACCAAGATAAAGGAGCACCGAAGCTAGCTTCTTAATACAACCCCTGTTATACCAAGGTAAATATGAAAAATAATTTTGAACCTTGAACTATATTTCGAGAACCAAATATTCTTGAGAACTACCTTCTACAAAAGTTCCACCGGAAACAGCGAATACCCCGAGTACGTCAACTCCACTTAACACCTAACTGCTTACGTTCTCGATGAACCCAGACTCAGATTCAAGGAACATCGAATCCGTTCGATGATCGGTCTCTAAAGTATCCACCGAATAAAGTCTCGGCCAACGATAAAATCTAACGGAAGACCGCTGCCATAGAGATTAGAGTCGTCGGCCGCGATTCCTCCGTCGCTAGCCACGCTGTCCACGCGTGTGCTTGGCGTTTACGCCCCTCGGTAAATCAATCACACAGCAGGGTCCGCGCGGACGCTCCGTTTTTATGAGTGCAACGGGTCCGTCGGGCTTCTTGGCACGGGTCACGCCTCTAGCGTGGCCAGAGGTAGTTACAGTGTCAGGTCCGTCCAAGCCCGTAACTCATCCAAAGCAGGCCCCCTCTCGCCCTCTTTCGAAGAACGGCGACCGGCTCCGTTCGTGCTCCTCGCGGAACGAGACGCATCCCCGTGCACGGTCGTCGGCCCGCGTCGACGCGCCGCGGGAAAAACAACGGGGGCGACACACGACGCACGGTTGTAACGAGAATCGGCCGGCGCACAAAGGCGATAGAGCAGCGGCGCCGCACGCCTTTGTGATTCGAGCCCAGACACGCCGGAGGATCGCGCAGGGGTGAGACAGCAAGCCAGCCCGGCAGACAGACAGACAGAC